TACAGTATTTTTATTGGGAGTGTAGGATCCCCTGCAGATTTAGAAGATCTCAAACGCTAATAGTACAAAGTACAATATTTTTATTGGGAGTGTAGGATCCCCTGCAGATTTAGAAGATCTCAAACGCTAATAGTACAAAGTACAGTATTTTTATTGGGAGTGGAGGATCCCTCACAGATTTAGAAGATCTCAAACACTTTTGGAAGCCGCCATGGAAGCGAAGAGAGAAGCAGAAGAAAAAATAACAAAACAGTATACAAATATAAACAAATGTTACATATAGTCCAACAAAAACAAAAAGCTGTACTTTCCCTCCCTATTTTATCCTATTATACATATGGCAACTTTCCTATCTTGTATACATTTTGGGAGCATGATCAACAAGTATGCATCAATATCGCACAAAAGAACCACCACATGAAGTAGGGTTCCACAACACATATTATGGAATCGCAACAACATGTGATGATTCTTTCGACGATATTCAGACGGCGACTTATTGTCATTGCTCCCCTCCCTGCCTCTAACAAAGACCCTGCATGGAGAGAAAAGGAGAAATAATACAACGAAGGATTTAGTTTAACAGTCATGATCTAACAATGACATAATGAAAGGAAATGAGATCTAAAATAATACGCAGTCTCATCATTACCACTGCACCCAAAAATAAAGCATGGGATAGGAGGACAAAGAGGCGGATGGGGTTGATTTTCGGAGTTTCATATTGAGAAGATGGAAGAAAGGGTTCTTTTCAAGGATTGAGAGGAGGAGGAACGAACAGCAACAGGAGATGAGTGCCACTCGGGTTTCGGAGCACGGTCTCTCCTTCACTGATTAACGAATTTAAAGATTGACTCGTAATTACTTTTACTTTCCCTCCCTTCACATTTACTGAAAATTACACTCCCTACCACTGCCTCGGCCTTGGTAACGCCGGCATTGGTTATGGGCAAAAGCGACTTTCCGAATTCGGCAATATCTGATTGGGTGACACGCACGCGACAAGGATCGAAGGTATTTCACCATCGGATTAAGGGAAAAGTTTAGGAATTGACGGTGGGAAATGGGGATGTGCTTTTATAAATAGTCTGAATTTGTAGATTAACCAACTTTTTCGTTTACCAACATTACTCTATTGATCTGGTTTATGTTATTCTAACTTGAATCATAACCCTAAACCCTAAACCCTAAACCAAACCCTAATACACGAACCAATCAATACCATATACTCTACAACAATAACAACACCTTATAGGCTTATACCGTAACCAATCAATAACATATATACTTTAAACCATCAACACCTTGCTCCTCCCTTATACCATAACCTTCAAGACCTTATACTGTATACCAACAACACCTTCTTCTATCTCCATCCCCAACTTTCAATTTATAATAAGTGTTTCCTTTGAAATATAAAATGGAACCCACCTTGGCAATTGCTAGCATAATTTAGGGATGTAGATGAATAGAAATTGATAAGTGATGAATTGCTAAAATTGATGATGTGGCGGTAGGGACCTCGTTTAGAAATTGTTGTTCAATTTTAGGGATGAAGATGATCAATACACTAACCCAATACCATATACTCTAAACCATCAACACCTTATACAATATCGTATTTTAGGGATGGAGATGATCAATACACTAACCCAATACCATGTACTCTAAACCATCAACACCTTATACAATATCGTATACCTATACGCTGATAAATTAAAATTATAACTTGCTTTTCAAAACATAAATTAAAAATTGATACTCACTAAGTATCGAACCACAAACCTCTACTTTATTGACTAAGCAAATAACGGACAATTAAGCTACATCACATTGATGACCATTTTGCATAATTTCGCTTTCTTATTAAGTGAAGGGTTAAAATGAACGATAAATATATCACAGGGGATTGTTTCAACTTTGGCGGGGACTGAGAGAGTGGAAAAGGGGTAATTATTCTACCAAAAAAGAAAAGAAAAGGGGGAATTAACGAAGAGTTAAATTGGACGGATTGTCTTTAGTACGCCACTACCACCCAAAATCCTTCGGAGCAAAGACGTGTTGGTTCAAGTCAAAGAATAAATGAAGAAAGATGAAGTTAAGAACTCTAACTAATTTTGATTCCATATGTGGCGAATCGCTAATGGGCGGGATAACCAACATGGAAAAATCGTTAATGAGAATCTACTTTGCACACACCAAATCATTTTATCTCGTACCGATAAATGTGTAAAGAGACACGCTACAATAATTATGTCTAAATTTCCTGATAATAAGGCATGATCAGCATTTATAAGAAGATGTTAAGACAATATAAAATCGAGAAAAATAAAACAACACCTACCCTCAGCCGAATCAATCAATACAATATGCTCTGGACAATCAACAATTCAACACCTTATAAACCATCCCATATATCATATACTCTAAACCATATACCATATACTCTAAATCATCAACAACAACCTAATACACTAACAAGTCAGTAATCATTAACTTAACCATAAACACCTTATACAATAATCGCATACCTATACGCTGATAAAATTTTACATTTTGAAAATACTTGCCCAAGTAAAGTACACAAGTACTTCAAAAGCGAAATTCTAACTTTCGTTTCAAAACATAAATTTAAAAAATGTCCTCACTAAGTATCTAACCACACGCCTCTAATTAGTCTACAAGAGGTTTGTTATGTCAAGAGGGGCAATCAGTGAGAGAGTGGAATAGGGGCAATTAATAAAGAGTTAAATTGGGCGGATTGTTTTTTACCTCGTACCGATAAATGTGTAAATAGACACGCTACCATTTACCGAATCCCAAAAAAAAGATGGAACACATAATTGTGTTTAAATTGCGTGAACGCAAGACATGATCAGGATTTAGAAGCAGAAGCAGACGCAGATGTAAATAAAAGCCCAACCTCTTCACAATCCGGATCATGTACACAAGCCCACTTTTGAAGGGAATTTAAAAGCCCAACTAGACTTTGTCCTAAACGCACCGTTAATACATAAACACAAGTTAAGGCGACCTCTCCATCTGATTCGAATCAAATTCTGTCTTCTTCATCTTCTTCCTCAATTAGGTCGAAGACTGTGTTGCTTATTTCATCTTCAATTTGTGTAAATTCCAGTCGGAAATAAAATGGCGAAGAACAAAACGTCGATTGTGGATACAAGGAAACGATGATTATGTGGAGATTTTAGATTCCGGTCGGAAATAAAATGGCAAAGAACAAAACGTCGATTGTGGATACAAGGATTTGTGGTTCAAAATGATGATTATGTGGGGATTTTAGATTGAAAAGGGATCTTCTCTTCGAACGTGGATACATAGATTTGGGGTTCAAAACATGATGATGTTGGGGATTTGATATTCGATTGGGAGCTAAATCGAATGTCGATCAAATGATAAAAGGATTTGAGATTTAAGATTTCAGAAACGATGATAAAAGGATTATGTTCGAACTTCGAACTAAGAGGGGACGTCCCCTCCAAGACGAATGAGGGACTAGAAATTGGTTAGGGCGGCGGGTCGTATCCATAGGGTTTAACCTCTTAATCGATATAATTAAACCGGGTACAGTTAGGTTGAAGTCCAATGAACAACGCTTAAACGCTTCGTGATGCTTTTGGTAATTTTCCTTGCCCCCGGTTACCCGTACCCCGGATTTTTCCCTGGGCACCCTAGAACTGCCCATATATATATATATATAAAATTAAAAGATGTGCTATGTTTTTCAAAATAATAAGGGATCCCATGTGGGTGGGCAAAAGGAAGAAGAAATTAGAAGATTGCTCACCAGATGCAACGGCAACGAGAAGAGGCGCAGGGGATAAAATTTGGACGAGGAATAGGCGGCGAGCGGGGGAGGCCGGGTCGACGGCGCATGGGGTCTGAAGGTCTGGTTGATGGCGACGGGGGCTAAAGCCCTGGTCGACAGCGAGCAAGGGAGGCCGGGTCGACGGCAACGGGGGCTGAAGCCCAGGATGATGGCGAGCAAGGGAGGCCTCGGCGGCAGGAGACGAGACATGGAGGAGATAAGAGGCAGGGGAGAGTGGAGGAGAAGTGAGGCGGCGGGGGAGCAGATGCGAAGAAGGAGAAAGGGTTTGGGTCTTTGGGATGGTTTTGTCTTCAAATAGCATATCGAGGTAATAAATTGATTTTGGATGGTTGGGGGATTCGATATGTGGATCTCATTACAAACTATTTTTTGTTTTCAATAGCATTCTTCTTTTAAACCATAAAACAAAATACTACTACATCAACCAAATATTTTAAGAAGTACAACTACAATAACAAATACAACTTAAGTGAAAACTTCAAATAACTCCTGCTTGAAAGTCATTCCACAACTTGTCCGCTATTTCATCACGTCGAATTTTCATTGCCCGAGTTTGAGTTGGACTGCTTTATATAAGTAATTAAAAACCAACACCCCAACTTTTGGCAGTGAAGATGACTTGCATGGGTTAGGGATTCACTTATATATATATATATATATATGGTGCCGTATTCGGTGCACCCGCCTCATAATTGTCATTATGGCCATGCGATTCATGTCAAAACGGTATCAATTGTTGCTTATGATATTATGAACAAGAAGCACATGAATTTGAAAAAAAATCATTAAAAATTTACTTTATTTCGAAGGATTTAGAATTTAGGGATTTAGGGTTAGGGTTTAGGTTTATAATTTGGGATTTTGGGTTGGGATTCAAAATTGAATGTTACGGGGTTAGGGTAATGGATTGATTTGTTATGATTCTATATCATATCATCATATTATATTGAGAGTACTAATAAAGTTCAAAATTTTATGTATTATGGACGCTTTTAGAGTTGAATGCACCCAAAAAAGTGAGTGCACCGAAGTAGCCACCACATATATATATATATATATATATATAATTAAAAGTTGTGCTATGTTTTTCAAAATAAGAAGGATCCCATGTGGGTGGGCAAAAGGAAGAAGAAATTAGAAGATTGCTCACCAGATGCAACGACAACGAGAAGAGGCGCAGGGGATAACAATTTGGACGAGGAAAAGGCGGCGAGCGGGGGGAGGCCGGGTCGATGGCGCATGGGGTTTGAAGGTCTGGTTGATGGCGACGGCGGCTGAAGCCCTGGTCGACGGCGAGCAAGGGAGGTTGGGTCGACGGCAACAGGGGCTGAAGCCCTGGCCGATGGCGAGCAAGGGAGGCCTCAGCGGTAGGAGACGAGACATGGAGGAGATAAGAGGCAGGGGAGAGTGGAGGAGAAGTGAGGCGGCGGGGGAGCAGATGTGAAGAAGGAGAAAGGGTTTGGGTCTTTGGGATGGTTTTGTCTTCAAATATCATATGGGGGTAATAGATTGATTTTGGGTGGTTGGGGGATTCGATATGTAGATCTCATTAATGAGAAAGAGGAGAAACCCGTATGTTTCCCATTCATGAAACATAAAAAATGTGTTTTCCAAAAACTGCTACTATTTACCACTATTTGATTCCCCAAATGAAAGCTGATGGAATGGGAATGGAAAGTAAATACTTTTTTTCTTTTTTCATTTCTAAATAAATGAAATGGAATGAGAAAACATAAATGAGAATGGTTACTAAACAGGGCATAAATATTTGATTCCCAAATGTGCATGTTTTGTGCTTAGCATCCTTAGCTTTGTGTATTTAGGTGCATAGCAACCTAAGGATTGTGCATAGTTGTGCTTCGCAACCTTAGGTTTGTGCATGTTGGTGCTAGCAATCTAATTAGCCACCTTAGCCTACCTTAGAGAGGAAAATCCCCCTTCCAAGTGATACTCAATCGAGTTGGTTTTCCTTCCGCTTTCTAAGCCACATAACTAGGTTAAGTTAGGGCAACCCTCAATGTTGACTTAAGCAAATCGGTTAATTGCGATTAAACCGTCCAACCTTTGAGTTGAGTGAGGGAGTAAGTCAATTATCAATTATATAAACCGAGAGGGTTGAGTGACACGACCTTCCATGCTTACCTCGGTTTAGCAATCGAGATTGTGGTCTCCGACCATATATGCATCCCTCTGCGGTTCACGATTACCGTGCCCAAGGCAATTATTCTAATTCACATATCATAGTAGCAGTTAGGGGGAAGCGACATCCGAGTGATCCTTCCCCACAAGAGTTTTCAAAACCATTTACCTTTGCCTTTTTTTATTTCAATTAGCAAACATTTAAACCAAAACTTTGATGCTAGATAATGATTTCAACAATCGAAGTAGGGGTAGATAGACCGGCCCGGGTCGATATCTAAATACTTGCCCTATACTGTGTAACACCCTACCCTATACGTTTTGCCTAATCATATTGTTCATACAATTGCAGCGGAATTAATCTCGGGCGTTACATTAATTATCAAAATTTACCCAAATAAAATTTCGACATGAATTACTCGCGTAATGGGCTAACAGTTCTTGCAACTTATCCTGCAAAATCATTCATCACAAACATATATACTCACAACCATATGCATTGGCTTTCATAGCCATAGTCACAGTTTCATACTACACAACTGCATACCAAACTTATACATATCATAATCGTCACAACTTACACAGTTACACAACATATTCACATATCATCAACTTTCCACACCTTTGGATATCTCACACTACATCAGAAGCTAGTATGCACATGAAAAACGTTTTCAAAACATTCTTTTACAAAAAGGTGTGGATCACTGGCCAAAATCCCGAGTAGTAGTCCAAGCACAGAATAGTTGAAGACCATACCTCATCCTGGCTTCAACTCTAGCTCCTCTCCCACCTAACACCTATCTACTGCTGCTGCTGATGATCTGCTTACACATAGCATAAGCAGAGAAGAAGAAATAAAATAGAGTCAGCTCATAGCTGAGTGAGATAATCATAGCATCGTGAGTTCATAACAGAGCATACCCCTACCATACATCTAGCAAACAAGCCAAAACACTAGGATCGGACCTCAGCCATCCTCATATGCCAATAGGCAAAAGACTCAACCACTTTGACTTATGCATATGCATCTTATCATGCTAATAACTCTCCCGGGAAACATACCCCACATCCCGTCGGATGTAGTCATACATACCCCAACATCCCGTCGGATGTGGTCATACATACCCCACACCACTATGGGTGTAGTCATACCCCGACACCGCTCTGGGTGTGGTCATATCTCGTAAGAATTCTTCAGTCACCACCACATGAGAGGTGTGACTATCATACATATCATAATAGAGTAATAGCATAGGGAGCCCTAATTACTATGTAGTTGACCGTGAGACCACAACACTCATATTTGGTATCCTTGTACATGATTCATATCTCATCTTGCTTAATCATAATTCATTACTTACACATGTACTTGACCTGACCATAATTGGCTCAACATAGGTAAACCAGGAGTCGTATAGTTGCACTTCCTCGGGATAAACCCTCGTGCAAGTCATCCTCCTTAAAACATCATAATATCACCTTGGGAAGTTTATTCCCCACTTATGGATCCAAATACAACCATAATATCACACCATGTCAAAACCCTTTATCGAACAACCATGAAGTCATATCAACAGTTAAGCCACAAATGGCAACATGTCAATCATCCACATAAACAAGGTTCATATCGATTAGGGCAAGTCAATAATATCATACAGCAGTCCAGGGTTCATCATATAGCACGAAAGTCCATACACCCCTAATCATGCCATTCTAGTTCACCTAGGTCAATTCTAAGCATCAATATAATTATCGTGATACGACAAACCCGGTATGCCGTGCTAATCCCTCACCAGTTCTGGTCGTTCAAACACCAGTTTAACTTTCCCGTACTAAAACGTCAATTTCACGAACGAACCCCAAATTAAAATCCGAGACCGTCCTAATATCCCCTGCAGTATCCCCGTCAATATTAGTTCTAGGCTCCGGGTCAAATTCTTGATAAAAACACATCAAACCCTGGCCGGATCTAAATTCAGCGGTTTGGACCCCGACCTAAATAATAGCCGAAATTCAGGTATTAGAACTAGAGGATTGATTACCTCGCTGCAGGAAGCTCGTATATGAAATTTGGGCTCAATCCGGCTTCCGGATACCCCGAAACCCTAATTTGGCTTATCGGGAATTCAAGAAATTCCTTAACCAAAAACTCGTTTTAAAGCTCTAAATCGATAAATCACGATGTATAGATGAATTAAGCATTACTTACGGGGTTTTTGGATCAGTGTAGCTCAAGAATTGAGCTTTGGAATTTTCCCACAGAAGCTCCCCTGAACTGCTCCGTTTGCTCAACTTCTCTCGACAATAAAAAGGGAGAAAGAAGATGATGATGGGAAAAGATAAGCTGGGGAGTTAATATATATTAACACGGCTCCGTTGATGCAATTATATATATATATATAATATATTATATATAATTATATATATTATATTATATATATATAATTAATACGTATACTTATCCGATCGATTGATAAATCCGATTTTTGTCGAAATACTATCAAAACGCTCGATTTTAAATCGCGAACTTTCTAGCGATCGAATATGGGTTTTGCCGGAATGGGATGTTACATACTGCACCCGAATAGAGTTTAAAAACTTGGGCTTTAGTTGGGATTTTATTGTGGTGTAGTTTCGTGCGAGTTAGGTTCCTGGACCACAATGATGGAATGGAAAAAATGTCTATGAATGGAGCAAGATGATCATAACTCATATTTGGTCCAAGGGATATTGAAGATGAGAATCATGAACAGAAAAGGTGTGAGTGAGAAGGTCTACATGATAGTCAGAAAGATGACTAGGCCTTTTAATCTCCCTATGAGCTTTACTGAGTGCTATAGAAGGTGTTTGAGAAGGTGATTGAGGGCGAGAGCGCAATTGAGGTGCAGGAAGAGGGTTGTCATCTGTAATGTCAGATTCAGAAGTGTGAAAAGGAGAGGGAGAGTAATCAGGTTCTGTTGTTTTATGAACATTATGATATGTAGGTAGAAAGGGATAAACATGTGTCTCCTCATAAAGGTTTGTGAAAGTAGGTTGTGAAGAGGAAGAAGTAGGTTCTACTGGTTGTTGAACCTCTTTGAAAGGAAAATATCTTCATTGAAGACAACATCCCTGCTAGTGAACAGCTGACGGGAGTCTAGATCATAAAATTTATAATCTTTGATGTTGCAAGGATAACCTAGAAACACGGCTCAATAAGCTCTAGGATCGAATTTACCCTTGTGATCATTTTAAACTGTAGCATAGGCCATGCATCCAAAACCCTGAGATTTTTGTAGTCAGGTGGTGTGCCATAAAGGCATTCAAATGGAGATTTGCCATTCAACACAGGTGTTGGAATTCGATTGTTTAAATATGCATCACGCAACACCAAGTCGCTCCAGAAACTTACTAGCAAACCAGATTGAATCTTAAGTGCTCTACCAACATTAAGTAGGTGCTGATACTTCATTTCCACCCAATCATTTTGTTGGGCAGTCCTTGCACAACTTAACTGATACACAATTCCATGCTCTTGATAAAAAGAAGGCATGTTAAACTCTTGCCCTTGGTGTGATCGAATGACCTTAACACTCTTGTCAAACTGAGTTTTCACCATAACACAAAACGATTGCAATAAACCTCTTGCCTAGGATTTATCACTCATAAAAAACAACCAGGTAGACCTGATATAATCATCCACTACAGTCATATGTACTTAAATCCATCATGGAAACCTGATAACGATGTAATTGCACATGTTTGCACCCTTAGTTCTTATCCGTTTGTGGGGCATAGTCGTGTATTTTTGGCTTATTTTACGCCGGGTTGTTCTACTTCGTCATATTTCAGGTCCCAGACGTCGAAGGAAAGGCTAAGCACGAGTTTCGGGGCATTCAGAAGTCATTCGGTCGAGCTGGAGCTAAAGCACGGGCGCGCCTAAATCAAAGCACGACCGTGTTCTTGGACCGTATTTTTACTGCCAAGGCTTCATCCAAGTTTGTCCTGCACTAGCCCAAAACACGAGCGGGGCTGACCCAAAACACGGCTGTGTCCAACATTAGGCACGATCGTGTTTTCCCCAAAATCTGGCCGTGTTTTTAACACGTGGCAAAGGGCACGGGCAAGCTGGAGCAAAGCACGGCCGTGCCCTCGACCGTGTTTTGCCCAGTGATGCCCTTTTAGGCAGATTTCAACCAAAAGAGAAGGGGATCCGAGTTTTAGAGAGACAGAGCGATTCCTAGAGAGAGAAAGTGACGAACAAGAGTTCCCAAGTGCCCTAGCTTGATCTTCATCATCATTGGAGCCCGGCTTGAGCTTGGA